AAAATATTATTATATTATACATGATTTAATTTTGGTTTTAGTTTTGGAAAAAGCAATTTTATTAAAAATCTATAGAATTTTATAAGTATTTCGACGTTTTACAATATTCAGAAAATATCAAACATAAAAATAAAAAAAAAAATATATGAACCCTACAATTAAATATGGATTTCATATAAAGCTTAAATAATATATTATATTTGCTCATATATAATTTCTCTCTCTCCCTCTCTCTCTCTCTCTCTCTCTCTCTCTCTCTCTCTCTCTCAACGTGTTTTTCCAAAATTATAACCAAACAATTTTTTTTTTTATATAAAATTGCAATATTGCAGTATTTTATATATTTTATAAAGTCACAACATAACAAGAAATGCATGCCAAATAAAAAATTTACAACATAAAAAATGTATTTATTACACGGTCTACAGATTTATGTGTTATAAAATAAAAAACGATTTAATTATCTCATTCGTGCTATATATAATATATTTATTTCACGTATACAATATCAGCGCACTTTTACATCTGTTTTATTATCTCTGTATATATAATCTTTACGGTTAAAAAATACATTTAATTAAGTCTCTCTAATAAGTAGAAAATTCAACGCGATAATAAAATGTTGGTAAAAAATTTAATTGATAGTTATCCCAAAATTACATTTGGATGATAATAGCTTTATAGATAAAAAGCAATATTGATTAGGAGAGAGGCACTTTTATTAATTTTATAATTATTAAAATTATTAATTGTCATAATATTAAAATTTAAAAACTAACATTTTGCGACTAGACATACCTCTAGTTCGCATAAACAACTCTTATTATTATTAATTTAATTTTTTCCCATTTTATACAAGTATTTAATTTATACAATTTATATCATTGTAATAAAATGCAAACATCGCTCTAATTGAAGACTAATTTCCAAACTGTGATCTTATATTTATATCTTTAAATAATGGAGAGATTATGTATTATAAAGAACTTATATATAAATACGTAATTTCCATTTATTACAAATGTGAGTTTAAAACAATTTGGAAATTATTTGCAAAATTTCAATTGAACAATTTTCTAAATCACATTTGAATATCGAACATATATTGAAAATTTCTGAA